CGCCTCCGCTTCGCCCTCCAGGATTCCCAGCCCCTGAGCTCGACCGTGGAGGAGGAGGCTCTCAGGCACGGGCTGGCGGCTGCCCTGCATGAGCAGGGGCTCTCCCTGGCTGCCTACGGGACCATATCTGCAGCTGCTCTTGCAGGTATGCTCCTCCTGCCACTGCCAGGGAGCCAAAGCAAGGTGCCCTGTGCTGGTGCTGCTGGCACCAAAGGTGACACTAGCAAAACCACAAACTGTCTCAGATGGCCAAACTACCGCTGGGCTTTAGCTCTGGATGTCCAGTCAAGGTGTCATGCCCAGCAGCAATGTTAGAAATGGAAGTGCTGCCAGGTGCCAATGAAAGATGCTCAGCCTGGCTCACTGGTGCTACCAGCTTCACAAGACAGCAGCAAAACCATGCCTAGATCCTGGTGGTTGCTCCACATTTGTGGGGAGTCTCCAGGTCCCCCTCTAACGCTAATTCTCTCCTGCTGCTCTCTGCTCTGAAGAGCAGTTTTGGGCGCCTGCAGCAACAACAGAGCCTAAAGCATAAATTGCAGCTTCTTTGGCTTTTTCTGCAGCACCTGGAACCAGCCTGAGGGACAAGAGCTCAAGCCTCAGGAGGTCAATCACTGGGTTGTCTGTACCTACAAATGTGCGGCAGTCCTTAGGCAGTCCTCGGAGGTTTAGCAATAATTCCTGCTTAGGCAGATATTTCTCATATTTGAATTATTCTCTAAAACCACCTGACTAGAAATTCTCCATGGATTTAAAAAAACCATGTCCCTGGAAAACATGAGGGTGTGGGCTCCTCTGCACTCCCTGCAGTGCAGGGCAGCATCCCTGCACCTTTGGAGCACTGTACGGCCCAGAGGGTGCCCAGGAACCCCCTGGCTTTAGGCACGAGCTCCACGTGGCTCCAGCCATGGTGCCCGCTCCCGGGTGGCAGCTCAGTGCCGCAGCCCCCAGCATCGCCCCAACAGCCCATGGGGCCAGAGACGGCGGCTCCTCCACTGCACGCTGTGCCTGTAGTGGAGCACGCAGGATGGGCGTTGGGAGGGAACCGAGCCAGGAGCTCACTGCTGGCCGTGGAGCAGGGAAAGTGACTGCCAGGTGGGAGGAAAAGTCGAAGCAAAACCTGTGCCAGCACTGGCCCCGGCCCAGCACGCAGCTCTGTGCCCCAACTGGGATGCCCTCACTGATCTCCATTTCTTCCACTTTGTCACAGGTCCCAGTGAGGTTTCTCCTCTCAGACCTGGACTGAAATCAGGTAAGAGCCAGGCAACGGGAAGAGCCGTAGACTCATAGAATCATGGAATGGGCTGGGTTGGGTTGGATTGGGTTGGGTTGGGTTGGGTTGGTTGGAAGGGACCTTCAAGATCATCTAGTTCCAACCCCCCTGCCATGAGCAGGGACACCTTCCACTACACCAGGTTGCCCAAAGCCTCATCCGACCTGGCCTTGAACACTGCCAGGGATGGGGCAGCCACAGCTTCTCCGGGCAACCTGTGCCAGTGCCTCACCACCCTCACGGGGAAGAATTTCTTCCTTAGATCTAATCTAAATCTCCCCTCTGTCAGCGCCCCCGACTGCGCTCTGCAGCCTGACCGCAGCCCCTCCCCACCTCTGGCTGCAGATACCACAGGCATTTGTGCCTCATCTTGTTCATGATCCGGTGGTCCAGGGCCACCCGTCCCTGCCCCCTGCGCACTCAACAAGCACTGCAGCTCCGCGCCCAGCCCCGTCCCGCGGGACTTGGGCACTGCCAGGGCACAGCGTGACAAGGGCGCTGCAGTGGCTGTCCCTGGGAAAGCTGGGGACGGTTCTGGGAGGGCTGCAGAAGGCAGGAGTGACTCGAGCCTCGCTGTCCCCAGGGAGCTGCCCCGGACACGAGTTCACGTGCCGCAATGCCCAATGTGTGTGGAAGGAAAACCCTGAATGCGACGGACAAAAAGACTGCGCCGACGCCTCTGATGAAAGGGGCTGTGGTGAGTCTCTTCCAGTGGTCTGCTGGACGTGGGGACAGGCCACAGCCCACTGCTGCAGACCCTGGGCTGTACCACCACTGGGCTGCTGGGCTCTGAAGCATGCCAAGGGCACGGCGCAACGCGTCAGGCCAACAGATGTCCGCATTGTACCCCAGAAACACCTCGGTCCCCCCACCAGCTGCAAAGGGTTACGACAGGGCGCACCTTCCCGCTCAGCGGGCTTGTTGGGCAAGCACCATGTGCCCATGAGTTGCTGGGAGCAGATCACGCGGCAGTGGCTGAGCTTGTGAAACTAGCCAAGAGCTTTCTCTCCAGAATTTCTTGCTTTCGAAGAGTTTCAGGTGCTTTGCAGTGCCTTTTTCCAAGCCTGCAGGTTAACGTCTGTCCTGCGACACCCCTGGCAATGTCCTGCTGCTTGAGCATGTGCCGGGAGCACGCACAAAGCCGAAGCAGCTTTTCCCACTTGCCCCAGGAGGACTTTGCTGGGATGCGGCCGGCAGGATCCTGATGCACCGGCTCTCTCCTCCCTTGCAGACTGCGGGAGCCGCCCTGCCATGCAGACTGCCACCAGGATAGTTGGAGGCTCAGAGGCATCCAGAGGGGAGTTCCCGTGGCAAGTCAGCCTGCGCGAGAGCAATGAGCACTTCTGTGGTGCTGCAATCCTCACGGAGAAGTGGCTGGGGGTGAAAAACCTCCTCCACTGAGTAAGCTCCCGCCACGCTAGCTGGCCCCGTTTCCAAAAGCTCCCACTGTCCCACACTGCCCCATTACACCTGGTTTCCTTCCCTTTCCAGACTAAGCTACGGGGAGCTCCTGTCCCGGCGCGGGTGGCAGGGTGGGCAGGAGGCAGCACCATGAGCTGCTCTGCAGGCAATGCCGTGGCTGCAGGCTCACCTGGCCCCGGCTCTCTTGCAGGTTTCAGGACCCGGCCATGTGGGCAGCTTACACAGGGACCACCTCCCTCAGAGGCTCGGAGCGCGGCGCTGTGAAAATGGGCATCGCGCGGATCATTCTGCACCCCTCCTACAACACCGACACGGCAGACTATGATGTGGCTGTGCTGGAGCTGAAGAGCCCGGTGACCTTCACTAAGTACATCCAGCCCGTGTGCCTGCCAGACGCTGGGCACCACTTCCCCACCAGCAAGAAGTGCCTTATCTCTGGCTGGGGCTACCTCAGGGAGGATTTCAGTAAGCAAAACGTGGCAGAGGAGGCACGGCGGGGTGTGAGCGGGGAAGGAGGCACCAGAGAAGGGAACTCAGGCCATGCCCTGGCAGCCGGGGTGGGCTGTGACATGGGCAGCTGGTCCCACGCGGGGCTCCTTGCAGTGAGCTCAGGGTTGCTTCTTTCTCATTTAGTGGTGAAACCAGAGTTCCTGCAGAAAGCCACAGTGGAGCTGCTGGACCAGAAGCTGTGCTCCAGCCTCTACAGCCATGCCCTCACAGACAGGATGCTGTGTGCAGGCTACTTGGAGGGGAAAATCGACTCCTGCCAGGTAAGCTTTGCCCCGGGAAGCCATCACACTGCCCCCCCACGAGTCTTTTCCCTCCCAGTATGCACCAAGCAGCACTTCAAAAAGCAAGATCTGACACCATGGTCAGGTTTACTGCCCAAGGTTTGAGGTCATGCCTTGAACCCAAGCATGGATCAGGAACTGCAGAAGACAAAAATGAGGATATGTTCTCTAGTGCTTAGAGCAGGGGCACTGCTGCTTCAGGGGCTCTTTTGGCTATTTAACTACTTCTCTCTACTTCCTCAACTGTAATCAGGGCTGGTGTTACCAAGGTACTGGCAGGTCCTGAGATCAAAATCATTGAATCACAGAATGGTTTGGGTTGGAAGAGACCTTCAAGATCATCCAGTTCCAACCCCCCTGCTATGGGCAGGGACACCCTCCACTACACCAGGTTGCCCAAAGCCTCATCCAACCTGGCCTGGAACACTGCCAGGGATGGAGCAGCCACAGCTTCTCTGGGCAACCTGGTCCAGTGCCTCATCACCCTCAGAGGAAAAATTTCTTGGATCTAATGGAAACTTACCCTTTCAGTTTAAAGCCATTGCTCCATGTCCTATCACTACACACAATCCAGATGGCAAAGGGCAGCAGTGGAAACTAAAACACACAATTTTTGGTGAACAATTTGGTGATTTTTTTAGTTAGCCTTTATCCAGCCTGGAATTGCAAGTGGTCAGCTGGAGAAAATCCTGCCTTTCACAATGCATGTGGAGAGGAGGAGTGTGTTGTAAGAGAAGGATGGTGATTTCCATGGCTGTCCCTGAGGTTTGGCAGGGCCCTTCATACCTGCAGCCACCAGCTGAGCAAAACTGCACTTCTCTAGTGGTAGTGCTCCATGTTTATGCACCAAATGCAGCACAAACACCAGAGAAGGGGCTAAGAATGGAAGATTCGAGGTCGGATGATGAATGTGACCCATCCAGTTATTCATTACTCACTTAGAGCAACCCAGCCCCCAGAAGGCACTGCCAGCTTCACAGACACCACATCGGTGACACTCATGTGGCCCCACAATACCAAAGAATTGACCAGGGAACCATAGGCCAAATTAAGAAAACATCACACCAAGATTAGCATGATCTCCCTGGGTTGCGTATCGTGCAATGAACGCCCATCATCTGGCTGTTCAGGGGCTGCTGGGCTTAACCTTTAAAAGCAGCAGCTTAACAAATGACCAAACTAGCAGATATGCTTATCATAGATTTTATGGAGGATGTCCTTGTGCTCTTCTGGTATATCAGGGACGTAAGGCTACTGCTTAACAGCAGGACAGTGTGCTCACACGGAGGAGCACCCAAAGGCCACAACAAGAGATGCTTCACTCATCACTAGGCTGGAGCAAATAAGTAGAGGTGAGCTGGGATAGAGCTGTACCTGGGACAGGTACAGAAACAGTCCTGGGTGAGCTCGGAGCATCCCCAGGGAGAGCTCACCATCTGGCTTCTCTTGCAGGGTGACTCTGGTGGGCCTCTGGTTTGCCAAGAACCATCTGGCAAGTTCTTCCTGGCGGGAATCGTGAGTTGGGGAATTGGATGTGGTGAAGCCAGGAGGCCTGGGGTTTACACACGTGTTACCAAACTCAGAGACTGGATCTTGGATGCTATTTCTGCCTTCCCCACCTCCATAGCCCGTCCCATCCCGCTAATACACTCCAGTACTAATAGTAATGTGATCAGCTCTGAAGAACTCAACACCACCACCACCACTGGAGCAACCCCCACCACTCCACCAGCCCCAGCCACCAGCAAGCCAGTGACTGCATCAAGACCACAAGGTATGAGCACCCACCTACCCACAGGGTAGGTGGACCTTGGCAGGAAGAGTGGCTGTTACAGGTCCAAACGTCAGGTTCATTCTTCCGCTGAGCTGAAATGACCTTCAGTAGGGTGAACCACACAACCCTTGCCTAAGTGCTAAGGGCCAGGCACAAGTGACACTATCTGTTTGCCCTGGCTCAGCGCAGAGCAGTTTGGCAAAGTCACTATGTACCTGCACAGATGAGTTTCATGGGCTTCTTTGCTTGTGCAACTGAATGTGTGATTTTGTCTGCTGTCTGTGTAACTGACTGCTCCAGCAGGCTCAGGACAGGGTACTAAGACACAGCAGTGTCCAACACTGTTTAACCTGTTCACCACTCAACTTTTGTTTACCACCTAAGGATCTCCCAGCAGTTCACAGCAGCCATACGTCTTCTCCCTGAAGGGATGGAGGGCAGGTGTCTATAGGATGACCTGTCAGCTCCAAGGAGCCCTCCCAGCAGCTCTGCATGGAGATATAGATGTAGGGTATTTTTCTAAATTTATGGTTAACTTTTTATCTGGAAAGACAAGGCTAAGAGGCACAGAGCTGCTGGTTACTCTGCCTTTCAGAAAGGCACAGAATTCAGGACTTGCCAAGAGCAAGATGCAGAATAGCCGTTAAGATGAAAGCCCATGTGTGGCCGTGCACGGCCACCATCAGCCACGATCAGCAGGCAGAGCTTGGGCAGATGCCTCATACCAGCCCTGACCTGCCCCTGCTCAGACTTACTGGTTAGAGAGAGCAGAAGTCTCTTCTCACTTGCCTTCTGCTAGGACTACTCATAAGTCATGCTTTGGCTTTTGTTCAGAGTGTGGAGGACGACCTGGGTTCTCTAAATCCAGCAAGATCGTGGGAGGAGCAGATGCTTCCAGAGGAGAGATCCCCTGGCAAGTCAGCCTGAAAGAAGACTCAAGGCATTTCTGTGGAGCCACCATAATTGGGGACCGCTGGCTGCTGTCAGCAGCTCACTGCTTCAATGAGTAAGAGTCCATCCCTGCTAGCACTGCGGTTCCAGCTCACCTGCCCACCGGCACAGAGCGTGCAGCTCTACATGGCCCTGTAGGCAAACCCACACCTGTGGCACTGGAGTCACTGGGGAGAAACAAGAACACACGCTGGACATTAATTTTTGTTACAGCTAGATTCACAGTAAAAGGGGCTTTGTGAGGAGGCTGGGATGAGGCAGGGAAAGGTTAAGGTAGTCTGGGAAGGGAGCAAGGACATGTCTAACGGGTGGAAAAGGACAGGAGCCACAGGAGAGTTTCTTCAAGAAATTTAACATTAAAAATTGGCGGTAAGATAGGAAATAGAGACATGTAGTTAGTTGTTAAAGGGAAGATGGTCAGTTCAATCCTGCATAGTTCTGTTAAACAGCCAGAGCCCAAGCCCAGGTTTATGAATAACCGTGTCGTAGTTTAACCCCAACCAAAACTAAGCACCATGCAGCCACTCGCTCGCTCATCCCCATGGGATGATGATGAGAAAACACAACGAAAGGCTGATGGGTCAAGACAAGGACAGGGAGGGATCACTCACCAATTATGGTCACAGGCAAAACAGACTCGACTTGGGGAAACATCAATTTAATTTGTTACCAATCAAATCAGAGTAGTATAATGAGAAATAAAACCAAATCTTAAGAACACCTTCCCCCACCCCCTCCTTTCTTCCCAGGACTCAACTTTGCTCCCAATTTCTCTACCTCCTCCCCAACAGCGGCGCAGGGGGATGGGGAATGGGGGGTTGTGGTCAGTTCGTCTCATGATGTTTCTGCTGCTCCTTCCTCCTCGGGGGGAGGACTCCTCATGCTCTTCCCTTCCCTGCACCAGCATCAGGTCCCTTCCCATGGGAGACAGTCCTCACAAACTTCTCCAATGTGAGTCCTTTCCTAAGGGCTGTAGTCCTTCAGGAACTGCTGCAGTGTGAGTCCCTCCCGTGGGGTGCAGGTTTTCAGGAACAGACTGCTCCAGCATAGGCGTCCCATAGAGTCACAGCCACCTTCAGGTGCAGGCACCCACTCCAGCGTGGGGTTCTCCCGCGGCTGCGGGGGTGGGTCTGCTCCCTCAT